TGTGTCTCTTCTCTAAAAAGACTCCACACTATCAGGGATTGTGGACCATGGGAGTTTATTCTTTTGATAACTTTACTATAACAAGCCAGAATTAGAGAGGTATTTTTAAATATTCATAAAATTATATTGCAAATAATGCATTTGCTATCCTTATGAGAATTTTTTAATTAAAAAATATTTTATTCCTAGAGTCTCACATGGTGATAAATATGTCTCTTGAACACAGAACATTTCATGGGCATGAAAGCTACAGCACTCTTTTTTCTTTTTTTTACCCCTTTCAGCGTATGCTGCTAACTGTATTCTTTGAAGGTTTACTCTTTTCTGATTATACGGATTTCTGATAAAAAATCAGAACATTTCTTCCAAAGGGCATCTGGATACACGTTTTAAAAACAGCAAAAATTTCCATTCTATCTGCTTGAAACTGCTGAGATCTCTGTGTCTGTTACATCTGACTATGACAACTTTTAGTGAGCATGGTAGTTTTTCATTTCTACTTTCCATATCTCACATAAATTGCTTTGGGGCCAAGTCTAATCTAGCATCATTCTAAAAATGGAATTCTGAGAAACTTACTTTCCGGTTTAATGTAGTAAAATCCACCATCACCCCCTCCCTCATCAACATTGCATTGAATCATACCTCATTTAATCATATTTAACTCCTGTTGTTGTTGTTGTTAGGTGCCATGGAGTCGGTATGCACTCACAGCGACCTTACACACAGCAGAACGAAACACTGCCTGATCCTGGGTCAACCTCACTACTGTTGCCACGCTTGAGTCCATCGATGCTGCCACTTTGCCAGTCCATCTCATTGGGGGTCTTCCTCTTTTTCTCTGACCCTCTACCTTACCAAACATGATATCCTTCTCCAGTGACTGGTCCCTCCTGAGAATATGTCCCAAGTATGACACCACTCATCTGTCATTTAACTCCTAGAGAAGAAAAATGTGGGCAAATACATAGAGACCAAAGTTTATTAATGATTATCAGGGGTGGGAGGAGAGGAAAGAGGGAATTAGTGCTTGGGAGAAACTGAGCTTCTATTCAATGTGATGGAAATCTCTGTACAGTGGTGATGATTACACAGCAGGATGAACGTAATGTCTGTTAAATAAGTTTACATATAAAAATATTGAAATAGCAAAAGTTTTATTGTTGTTAAGTGCCATTGCATGGGTTCTGACTCAAAGTGATCCTATTTAGGATTTCCAAAGCAAGATTTTTTGTTTGTTTAATCTTTGCAGGAGCAGAATGCCTCATTTTTCTCCCGCAGAGGTGTGGGTGGGCTTGAACTTTGTGGTTCAAAGTTCAATGCCTATCCTATGGAGCCACTGTGATATATATATATGTGGTGGCAGTGTGCCGTGGAGTCAGGTCCGACTCATAGTGACCCGGTATAGAGTTTCCGAGGCTGTAAATCTTTAAGAGAGCAGAAAGACTCATCTTATTCCCACAGAACGGTTGGTAGTTTCAAACTGCTAACAGTGAGATTAGCCGTCCAATAAGCTCAATGTTGTCATCAGCGGGGACGTGGACAGGAGCTTTAATACAACTAGAGTGCAGATAATTTTTTACTCATCCTAGTGTGTGATATATTGTCGGGGACTGTCCTCGACATAGGAACTTGGTTCACGAGTGTTTGGTTCATGAGGAGGGGATATCCGGCGGCAATAGGGATAGCAAAAGAATACACAGACAGACAGAAGAAGGGGGACAATGAGGCACCCCAAAGCCAGGGTGGATACATCACTGGTGGGCAGACTTGGGAGTACAGGCATCGTGGCCTCTGCAGGCAGCAACTCACTGCCCTGCAATCTTTACTGCATGCCCTCCAACTCGTAATGCACACCTGGGCTTCCTGGGCCTCTGTTTTATTTAGGGGAGGAGCTTCACACCAAGCTGGGAGGGACTAAAACAAGATACAGCTAACATCAATAATTTTCCAGACACTCAGGTAACTTTACATCGTACTTTGCTGGTTCAAATCCCAGGCCAGCAACTTGGTTTCTCAGGCTCAATTAACATATCTGTAGCCCCTGAGCTCAGTTGGGGCAAGGTGAAAGGGAGGACAAAAGGCTTAGGCGGAGTCCCACTGTTTTGGCTTCTTGAGCCAGGCCTGCAGGAAGACGCAAGCTGCCCAGGTGAATGGGCTGCACCTGGAAAAGGGATTAGGGAGGATAGGCTTTTTGTCTGTAGAACAAAGGACGGGGAAGTAGCTAAATTATTTTCAGTTAATCTGTTGGAGAAAGGCTTGAACTTTGAAACCTTTAGCCTCGGCTTTAGAAAGTTTTAATATTTCTCTGTGGATAATAAGGGCTCATGTCTGCATTTAATTATAAATATAACCGAATACTAAGATTAAAAACAATTTGCCATGACTGCCAGTGGCCTCATTTTCACACCAGGGTACTGTATATATATATGTGTGTGTGTGTGTACACATATATATATTTAAAAATCGAACTACCTAACCCACTTGCTGTTGAGCCCATTCCAACTCATACAGACTCCATGTGTGTTAGAGTAGAACTGTCCTCCATAATGTTTTCAAGGTTGAATTTTTGTGAAGTAGATTTCTTCTGAGATTCCTTGGGTTGGTTTTAAACTGCCAACTTTAGCAACAGAGTAGCTCTACTGTTTATACCACAATTAAAAATACGGTAACAATTTATATATATATATATTTAGAGAGAGAGTGTGTGTGTCCTGGTGTGGCACTGTGGGATAATGCACTGGGCTGCAAAGTCGACTTGAACCACAAGGTCACTGGTTCAAGCTCACCAGCTGCTCTCCAGAAGCCCTATACTGGGTCACTATCAGTTGGAACTGACTCGATGACACTTAACAACAACATATATATATCAGCTATACTTCAAGAACCAGAATCTCTTTTTTTTATCTTAAAAGAATACTTTTATATATTTTCTCTCTTTTAAAAGCAATTGCCAGTTTTATTCAATAGTCTAAATGTATCATGTAATCTATTTGTACAGATATTTTCTTCCTTTACAAGATAATTTGGGCCTCTAAAGAATTGATGTTTTCTTTTCACTAATTAGTTTCATGATTCTTTTCATTTGTGCTCATTGCAATTTTCCCTGTGTTCTGTGAGCATGCAAACATGTTTGATGGGTTTTGTTCCCCATATCCTTTACCTTATCATATTATAATATATAATTCATTTTCAGAATTTTTTTTAAATTTTAAGTCTCCCATAAAATGAGTCACCTCTATTTTATTACTTGCAAATTACTTTTTTAGGTTTTAAATTTGGCATCATACTCCTTAGATTCAACCTACAAATTCATTACTCTTACAAATTGAGGCACTTTGCCCCGCTCTTTTCTGTCCTTCACTCTGATTAGCTCCTGTTAAACTTTTGAGTTTCAGCTGAGATCATCACATATTCCAAGAAGCTGTCACTAAGTGACATCTATTGGTTTTTACAATATCCTTCATTTCCCAATTTAGTCCTCTTTTCACCATATAGGAACTGTCTGAAAACAAAAATGTGTTTCTCACTAGAATACATATTCAGCAAAGGAAGGAACTCGATTTATTCAAGACTTCTGCTTATCACAGATATTTAATAAATATTTGTTGAATGATTAAATGTATGAATTGTTTAAGAAATGTGTGGGGAATATCTTCATAACAGATAAGGATTCTAAGATGAAGTTCAAAGAAACTGATTCAATTGCTCAAAATAATATAGCATATTCATGGCTAGAAGTTAGTTTTCTAATGATCTTTCCAAAACATAACCAAGAAGAAAATGATACATGTAAATACTATTGAATATGAATGCAATGCATTATTTTGGTAAGTGCTCTCAAGCTGGTTCCGACTCATAACAACTCTCTATAAGGTTTCTGGGGCTTTTACAATCTTTACAGCAGCAGAATGTCTCATCTTTCTCCCACAGAACAACTGGTGGGTTCAAACCATCTACCTTGTGGTTTGTAACCCAGCACTTATCCTATAGAGGCACTGTGTTCCCATGCATTATTTAATACACTGTAAAAACTTGGAACAACAACAGTAAACTGAACGACGTATTACAGAGTAATAGCTTCTTTTTCTTTGACACTTAAAGGTGTGATTTTCTTGTGATTTCCCTTCATATGTGGGCATAATATGGGATAAAAATAAACTGTACTCTTTTAGTCATTAAAATGTTCATTTAACACAGAGGTTTATAATAAGGCTTGAGGGATCATTTAGCTAGAATTGCTGATTCACTGAATTCAAGAACGAACATGATTGGTTTGGGTTAGCTTTGTTACTAGACTGAATATTTGTTAGCATTTTCAAATTTTTTGAAGTTGTCATAACTTTGATTTAGCACGTGTGTACTTCTCAACACCATGCTAAAAGTAGGAATGTGCAGACATTTGTACCTTCTTCCTGGGTTTGGAGACTGTAGCCGCATGTACTTCAGGTGCCTGGGAAACACTGGGTCTTCATAACACCGAGGTAAGTGACTGAAATGCCAGTCCTGTACTCAGAAGCTCTGCCCGTTCTTTATACTAATAATGGGCCTTTATTTTTCTTCTTCCTTTTCTTCATTTAAATGATTTAGAAGGAAAATCTTGGAGTTTTTTTTTTTTTCCAGGGATTCTGCCTATACCAATGTAAGCCATAGAAAGATATGGAAAGAAAAATGCAGGTAAGATTCGTGCTTTCTTGCTCTTGGACATGGAAGGATCAAGTACTCTACTTCACACTGAAATGGTGACTCACTCCATTCAGAAAGATAGACTCAGATGTGAGAGAGCTGATCAGTCTAAAGATTTCACCTAGTAACACCATCCCCAGAGGGATCCCAGATGCACATAGTGTGTGGCATCACTGTACTGTCAAGTTGTAGCTCATTTAGAAATACTTTCTACCTGAATCAGGAAATGCAGATTTGATCATCTTAGGCCTCTTCATCCACAGTAGGGGCTGGGTTAGGTCTCAGCTATGGTTTTGTGTACAGGCTGCAGGTGCTTAAGAGCACTGTGCTTCTATGGCGCAGAAGTAAGTGGCTGAGTCCTCAGGTTGTGAGTCTCTGATGTATAGCTGGCTATAACGTTCCTTGATATTGAGTGTGGATTTTAATCTTCCTTTTTGCTTCATTTCTAAAGTTATGTAAAACAAAGGTATGAGGTGTCCTGCAGGGTTTTGTTGGAACCACTGAACACTGGTCACGGAGATAGAAAAATTGCACAGCAGAGAGGAATTTTTCCCCTCTTGTAGAAACAGAAAACGAGGACTCTGCTCCACCTTCGTCTCCACTCTTAACCCTGTTGGGAAAGAGAAAAAATAGACACAAGTGAAGGTCATTACAAAATTACTTTCACTGCTTACAAATGTAGGGAATTTCTCTATAGTTTCTTCCTTGTGGTAGAAGATACCACCCAAGAGACTTGTGTTCTGTCTTCCTTCCCTCCCCTACTCTTTTCCAAATTTAGTTGTAATGTTCATCCAAGTTTCCTCTGTAATGTTCTTAACTCACAGCAAATCTGTATCCACAGAAGGCCCACCAAGACTCCTACTTGTGTCTTCATAATTCTTGACTCTTTTGCTTTAGGGACACACCTTGGTGGCAAGTCCCTTTAAGTACAGGTTTGTACTGTATCTTTTGTTTGGAGCTGATTTTGTTCCTGTAACTAATCAGTTTCATGAGATAGATTCATCAGCAGCCACTTCTAGGTCATGTCACTCAACTTTTTAATGTGAAGCTCCACCTAACTATGATTGCCTGCCTTCTATGATGCATATGTATGAGTTCTTGTGTGTGTTTTGGAGGTGGTGGAGAAACTTTTTTAAAGGTTTAAAAATATTTTCTTTCCTGTAAACTGTAGCTGTATGTAGAATGATTTACATGAGAACTTGGGAGATGGCAACATAGAGAGGAAATAAAGAAGTCATTTATATGAGAAGAGCCATAGATAACAAGATGTTTACCAAGTTAATATGAGCAAACTGAGAAATTCTTCTGAGTTGTGAATGATTTACTTACAAATGTATTATAGCGATATATATAACTGAATTCCAGTTTTTATACACCTTGTATCATGCTTATTGAATTTATTAAAATAAAATTATATGTCATAGTTGTTCAGGACATATGACCACTAGAGAAATAAATAGCACAATAGTAGAAAGAAAAACTTTTCATTTTTATCTAACATTTTATTATTCATATAAACTGGGCTTACTAGTTTGCTTCTGTTGTCATTAGGTGCCATTGAGTCTGTTCTGACTCAAAGCAATCCTATGCACAACAGAATGAAACATTGCCTATCCCTGTGCCATCCCCACAATTATTGCCACGTTTGAACCTGTTGTTGCAAACCCTTTTTCAATCCACCTTGTTGAAAGTCTTCCTCTTTTTCAATAATCTATTGTTTTACCAACATGATGTCCTTCTTCAGGGACTGGTCCTTCATGATAACATATTCGAAGTCACCCCATCCTCTCTTGTAAGGCTGTACTTCTTCCATGGCAGATTTGTTTATTCTTCTGGCAGTCCAAAACCATAATTCAAAAGCATCAGTTCTTCAGTTTTCCTTATTCATGGTCCAGCCTTTGTATGCAATGAGGCAATTGAAACTGCCATATCCTGGGTCAATCATGCTTTAGTCCTCAAAGACACATTTTTGCTTGTTAACATTTTAAAGAGGCCTTTAGCAGTAGATTTGTCAAATGCAGTACATCATTTGATTTCTTGACTGCTGCTTCTATCATCATTGATTATAGAACCAAGTAAAATTAAAATACTTGGCAACTTCAATATTTCCTCCTTTCATCAAGATGCTGCTTATTAGTCTGATTGTGTGGATTTTTGTTTTCTTTATGTTGAGGTCTAACCCACGTTAAAGACTGTAGTAGTCTTTGATCAGTAAGTGTTTCAAACCCTCTTCACTTTAAGCAAGCACGGTCGTGACATCTGTATGTTGCAGGTTTTTAATGAGTTTTCCTTCAAACCAGATGCTGTGTTCTTCATAAAACCCAGCTTCTTGGACAATTTACTCAGCGTATAGACTGAATATATATGGTGAAAGAATTCAAGTCTGACACACACCTTTCAGATTTTATAACAATATAGTATCCCCCTGTTCTGTTTGAATGACTGCCTCTTTTGTTCTATGTATAGGTTCCACATAAGCACAATTAAATGTTCTAGAATTCGCTTTCTTCCGCATGTTATCCATTATTTGTTATGATCCACTTAGTCTAGTGCCTTTGCACAGTCAATAAAACACAGGTAAACATATTTCTGCTTTCTGATATTCTCTACTTTCAATCAAGATTCATCAACAATTGTTAAGCCACCAAGTCAGATCTTGCTCATGGTGACACTATGCACACCAGACCTAAACACTCCGTGGTCTTGTGCCATTCCGACAATCATTGTGATACCTGAGCCCATTGCTGCTACTCCTGTGTCAATTCATCTTGTTAGGGATCTTCCTCTTTTTAGTTGAAACTCCACTTTACCAAGCATGATGTCCTTCTTCAGGGACTGGTCACTCCTGATAACACGCCCAAAGTATGAGAGACAAAGTCTCATTATCTTGGCTTCTAATGAGCATTCTGGCTGCACTTCTTCTAAGATAGATTTCTTTGTTCTTTTGACAATCCATGGTACTTATAATATTCTTCTTCAACACCATAATTCAAATGTATCAGTTCTTCTACTGTCTTCCTTATTCATTGTCCAATTTTCACATGCATATGAAGCAATTGAAAATATCATGGCTTTGGTTAGGTGCACCTTAGTCCTCAAATGGACACCTTTGCTCTTGAGCACTTTAAAGAGGTCTTATGTAGCAGATTTGTCTAATGCAGTATGTCATTTGATATCTTGACAGCTGCTTGCATGAGTGTTGATGTGTATCCAAGGAAAATGAAGTCTTTGACAACTTCAATTTATTCTCCATTTATCATAATGCTAATTATTAGTATAGTTGTAAGGATTTTAAATTTTCTTTACATTGAAGTGCAATCCATACTGAAGGCTGTAGTCTTTGATCTTAATCAGTAAGAATTTTCAGTCCTCTTTGCTTCCAGCAACCAACGTTGTATCATCTGCATGTCACAGCTTGTTAATGAGTCTTCCTCCAATCCTGATGCTATGATCTTCTTAATATAATCCAATTTTTTGGGTTATTTGTTCAGCATACAGATTTAATAAGTATATTCCTTTTTCCACACCCACTTCTGAATCTGACATAAATTTCTAACAGTTTTTTGTCAAGGTGTGGCTACAGCAGTTTTTGAAATATCTTCAGCAAGCAAAATTGTATTTGCATGTGATATTAATAATATTGCTCAATAGTTTCCACATTCTAATGGATCCTCTTCCATTGGAATGGGCATAAATACAGATCTCTTCCAGTTGGTTGGTCATGTATCGCTCTTCCAAATTACTTGGCATAGACAGGTGAGCACTTCCAGCATTGCATCTGTTTATTGAAATATTTCCATAAATTTAACATATATGCCAGTAGTTCTCAAACAGGGGAGTTTGCCTTGCAGAAGATCTGGAGACATTTTTGACTCACAACTGGGGGTTCAGTACTACTATATTGATCCCTAGAGTGTAGAGGCCAGAAATGTTACTAGTCTTTCAATGCACAGGACAGACCGGGCCCCAAAACAGATGCATCTAGTCCCAAATGTCAATAATGCCACTTTTGAGAAACTCTGATATAGAGAACACTTTTCAGTTCAAATAATCTTCTTTCAGTTTCTTTTCCCTTTTGTTTCTCTACTCAATCCTTCCCAACTACACTCTATCCGTTCGTATTTGTCTTTTTATTTCCCTCTTTTTTTTTTTTTTTGTCTTTGAATTTCTGATCTTATATGAGGTATAAACATGTCCAGAATGGAAACAATTTATGGATAAATAAATAGAAGCTAATATTGTATAGCAAGAATATGGATTTATGAAACTATAAAATTAAAGAAATGTGAAACAAATTGCATTGTTTTCATCTCAAGTTTTATTTTGAGTCATGGAGTGCACCCATGGGGTTAAGAAAGGAGAGCTGCTGATAAAAATGTTTTTTAAAAAACAAGATTGTGTAACTACATTGAAAATTCATGAAATACATTCCTTCTCATGTGTTATTAAATTTTTTTGGTCTAAATACTCTCTTGCTCACCCTCCTGTACCCTGCAATAAATTATTAGTCCTCCTTTTTCAGAGACTCATTTTCTTTCAGTCATTAATCCTTCTGAAAGCCTAAAGAAAGTTTTCTCAGGTTAGCATGCCCTCTTGTGGAATAAAAACTAAAACTAAACCCACTGCATGAAGCAGCCCATGGATCAGCCCAACCTAGGATTCTTTGGTCTGGGCTTTGAGTCTGAAGATAACTCTGTGCCTTCCTAAAAATATGCTTACATCAACAGTGTATTTTAAAGAAGGTACAACATGGTTCATAATAATAGACCCTGGCCACATTTTTGTTGTAAATTATTGCCCTGAATGTAGACTGTAGGTCGGAGTATTCTACAAATTGTGACCCCTGCAGAATGATGGCTGTGGAAACTAAAAATCACCCTCTATCACAATGAGAGTGGGTTCCTTGTAAAAAGGAATGGCGTCCTTTCTGTAGTCCCTGTACTGAACATGTTTCAGAATACATGTAAACTTCTAATTTTACCTTATGGAAGCTACGATTTCCATTTTCAAGCTATGATCATTTTTGATCCATCAAGTTAAACAATTCACCAAACAATGCTAATCCTCACAATAGCACTGTAAAGTATTTATAAATAAATTGATATTCACACATTTAATTTAACATACCCAAAGTCATAGACCAGTAAGTGGTGGAGTCATAAAAAAATGTTTGCTCCTATCACAGTATCATGTTGCTTTTTGGAAAGAGTGACTTGTAAGATCAGTGATTATGGCAAAAAACTTGATTATTTTCAGAATGAAAGAATTTAATGTGATAAAACTTTAGGGGAAAGGTTTCGGCATGAGTTGTATGGAGATTGGATTGAGATTTTAAAAATAAAATAAATAAATAACTTTTAGAATCTAAAAGTAAGGAAAAGATAAGACTATGTTCTTGTTGTTAAGTGCTGTCAAGTCATTTCTGATGCATAGTGACCCTGTATTGGGTTTCTGAGGAGTGGCTGGTGAGTTTGAACAGCTGACCTTGTGGTTCAAGGTGACCTTACGATCAAGTGCTTATCCTACTGTGCCACATCAAGTCATGCCATTAAGTCAGTTCCTACTCACAGTGACCCTATATACAAAAGAATGAAACACTGCCTTGTCTTTCTCTGGTCTCACAATTGTTATGTTTGAGACCATTCTTATAGACACTATATTAATCCATTTCTTCAGTGATCTTCCTCTTTTGTTTAGCTGACTCTTTACCAAGCATCATGTCCTCTTGCAGGGACTGGGTTCCTTCTGATACCATGTCCAAAGTACATGAGATAAAGTCTTATCATCATCACTTCTAAGGAGAATTCTGACTGTATTTCTTCCAAGAGAGATTTGTTTGTTCAGTTAAGATTGTGTTTGGCTATAATAAAAGAC